CTAAACAAATACGATATCAAATTCCTTTCTAGAAAAGTATAAATTTGCATTCATCTACCAATGCGAGTTCACAATATCTCTTTGTTTGATTTTGCATTTTGAGTTTACTAAAATTTCACTTTTAATTGTATATGTTTATTAATGATTTACATTTCTTCTTTTGATCATGTCTTTGACAGCTTTTCTACTATAGGTTTGTTTGTAGGAAGCTCCTTATATATTAAAAATGTGAGGGTTTATTCACTTATGATGAATTTACTATGTCAGGCACGGTTTTTATCTATAATCCTTGTTAACACTTTTCCCCCCTAAATTGCTGTTTACCTTTTAAGTTTGGTCTATGATTGTTTATACCCTATGTGATATATTTTCCCCCTCTGTTTTTCTTTCCCCTTTTCTTTAATGCATAGGAAACAGAAAACAGAAATTTTTTTTTTTTTTTTTTTTTTTGAGAGAGAGCAAGAGACAGAGTGCAAGCAGGGGAGGGGCAGAGAGATGGAGATAGAATCTGAAGCAGGCTCCAGGCTCCGAGCTGTCAGTACAGACCCTGATGCAGGGCTTGAACTCATGAACCCTGAGATCATGGAGATCATGACCTGAGCCAAAGTCAGATGCTTAACTGACGGAGTCACCCAGGTGCCCCAGAAAACAGATTTTTAATCTTAGTTTTGCACTCTGCTGCTTTTTGCTGGTCTCCTCCTCGTGACACTCTGCCTTTTATCCTCCTTCCTGTGTGGCCTGTTTCTCTCTTCATTCTGCCAATTCTTTTTCCCTGTCTGACTTCCTTATTTTCAAACACTTCTTTTCACCTATAACACTTTTTCTCCCATAACTCAATAGTCACATATAAAATCACGTATAATAGTCACATATAATAGTCACATATAAAAGGTTGTTTTAAAATATTTTAATCTATTACTATAAATCAGAATTTTCTTTACATTCTATATGAATACAGCAATTAAGTACTACTTTTTATCTGATAAAAAACTTAGCTATATTAAGTTACTTTTATTTGCGTATAGCTCTACATTTCTCTTTAGGTGCATAGAAAAGATTTCGGTGACCTGAAAAGGTTCTATTCTGAACAACAATTCTATTCAATTCAATAAATGTGAGATTTCTATTATCCACTCAATAGCTCCTTGAGGACCTTATTAGAGGTACTTTTATAAAACAAGGATTGGAGGCAACGGATTTAATATGATCACAGAAATAAATGTAAGAATTTAAATATGGCAATTGCCCCAAGAGAGGTACAGACAATATAGACTGGGAATTTAAAGAAGGGAGAAACCACATCCAGTTTAGGAGGTGGAAGATTTCCATTACGAAAAGTTGTTTGACGGGCACCCTCCTACACTGTTGGTGGGAATGTAAACTGGTACAGCCCCTCTGGAAAACAGTGTGGAGGTTCCTCAGGAAACTAACAATAGAACTCCCCTAGGACCCAGCAATAGCACTGCTAGGAATTTACCCAAGGGATACAGAAATGCTGAGGCATAGGAGCACGTGTACCCCAATGTTCATAGCAGCACTCTCCACAATAGCTAAAACATGGAAAGAGCCTAAGTGTCCATCAACAGATGAATGGATCAAGAAGATGTGGTTTATCTATACCATGGAATACTACATGGCAATGAGAAACAATGAAATCTGGCCATGTGTAGCAACATGGATGGACCTTGAGGGTGTTATGCTGAGCGAAATAAGTCAGGCAGAGAAGGACAAATATCATATGTTTGCACGTATAGGAGGACTAGGAGGAACTTAACAGAGGACCAATCGGGAGAAGGGGGGAAATGGTGGGGAAAAGGGAGAGAGGCAAACCATGAGAGACTCTTGAATGCTGACAAAAACTGAGGACTGATGGATGTGGGGGGGAGGGGGGGATGGGCATGGAGGAGGGCACTTGTGGGGATGAGCACTGGGTGTTATGTGGAAACTAATTTGACAATAAACTATTAAAAAAAAAAAAAAGAAAAGTTGTTTGAGATACACTTTGATGAACTGCAGACTTTTAACAATGTCAGTTGCACCTGTTGGTTTCATCTGCTCCAAAACCATTTCCCTAACCTCTGGCGTCATCACCTTGATTTTCCTCCAGGCATAACCTACCTGTGTGGTTTGGGTGAGGTTGATCCCATCCTTGTTTCATGAGTTGCATGTGGCCCAAACCTGACTAGTCAGGTAACAATTATTACCTTGAAGATATTTGGCCCAGTGCAATCAAAAGGAATTTTCCCTTTTAGGGCTGCAAAACTTAGAGCTACAGGAGTTTACTACATGAAAGTCAATCGAAGCCAACACAAAGGAAAGTAGAGGTGGGAGATGAAGAGAGTATGAGATGCAGCAGGCAGGAGGGAGTAGAGATCAAATTAAAATGAGTGTCCCATATTGATGACATTATTCAAGCCTCCTAATCCAACAGTTTCTCAGACTGACTTCTAGACTTTTCAGCTACACAGCCAATAAAATGTCTTCTTGCATATGCTTTCATGTATTAGGGTTTAGTTATTTGATAATGAAAGAGTCTTAATAGACAGCAATGGAAGGCAGGGGGCTGTGTTAGGGGTAAACCATATGAGCAAAGGCATGGCAGTGGTAAAGCCTGAGGGTATGGTCAGGGAATAACAATTGTCTTACCTGAATGGAGTGTATGACACAGACATACATACAGGCAGTAATGAAAAAGAAGTTGGGGAATTATAGTAGATTTTGCATGAAAATCTGAGTGTATGCTTACATATCTAGGCTATCACTGTCCAAAGAAATATAATGTAAACTACTTATGTAATTTTAAATTTCTATTAATCAGTTAATAAAGGTAAAACTAATTTTAATAATGTTCTGTAACCCAACATATCCATAATATTACCAATTCAGCATTTAATCTCTATAAAAATTAGTATACAGAGGTTTTACTTAATTTTTTTGTACTGCTTCCAAACCCCAGTGTTCATTTTACACTTCCAGCCTTTCTCACTTTGTAATGACCACATTTTAAGGGCTCAATAGCCACAGGTAGTTAGTGGCTACTGTATTAAACTGCACAGATTTTAGTGATGCAGAGATACTGAGAATTTCTGAGAAATTATGAGAGTCGTGTTTTAAGAAATTTAATGTGTCATGATCTTCAAAATTATGAGGGAAGGAAAGGCTGAAGTAGGAAGCTATTCACTGAATTATGTAAATGTTCCAGGTAATAAAGAAAGTTCAACTAGAATCATAAAAACTGTAATTAAATGGAGCATTTTTACCTTCAGAGGTAAAAATGAATAGGATTCGACAGAGATTTGGTATGAGGGTGATGGAGATAAAAAAATAGAAGTGATAATGATGATATAAATTTCCAATCAAGAAAGATAGGGATGTTAAAAGGAATACGTTAGTAGTAAAAATGATGACTTTCACTTTGTAGATGTTTCAGATAGTTGTAGGACATCTAAGTAACATTCCCAAAGCAATTAAAGCTGTGCATCTGTGGCTCAGGACATGGGATAGGTAAGAGAAAAGATCTAAGAGAAATATATATGACTGTTGTGGTCGTGGGAGATAACACAATTAATGAAACAAGATAAGGGAGAGTGTTGAGCAGCTTCATGTGAAGCAGAGACCAATAGAAATGAGGACATGAAGGACTTTTTTTTTTAGAAGGAAACCTAAATGCACAATAGTTATGTGTCTATGGCAAGTCCTGAAACATTTCTTGCTTTGGCTTTCTCATCTGTACAAGGAGGTGGTGGAAGTCTGTGTTCCTCAAGCTCCTCCTAGTGCGAGCGCCTTCTAGTGTTATCACCCTGGATCAGGTCAATAGGAGCATACAGACAGAAATGGATTAAGATTTTAAAACATTATGAAATGAGTGAATGATAAGGAAGGGAAAATAAATATGACTATGATGTTAAAATATTTGATAACCTGGAAAGAGAAACCTCATCAAGGGAAAGATTCCCTTTCTTCAGTTGGAAAAGAGCTGAGCCTGTTTGTAAGCAGAAGGTAAGAAACTTGTAGATGGAAGAACTAAAGGTAAATATTAGAAGCCATACAAGAAATAAGGCATGCTTGGTGTGGAGTCCCAGGAGGTTCAGATATAGATTCTTCCAGCATTTACTGTATGTCTCCTCTATTCTAAGAATCATGTGTGATGTTCTTATAGATGGCATTTAACTCTTACCACAGCTCTGTGAGAGCAGAATTATTAATTCTGTCTTTTACAGCAGCAGTTGTGATATTATTTGAAACCATGAATTTCAAAGTCACACTGGGCTCAAACCTCAGCAGCATAGCTAATTAGTTATGAAAACTTGGGCAAGCTTCCTACCTTGTCCTTTACTCTTTCCTTTTTTTTTTTTTGTAAAATAATATCAATGTCATGGAATTAATTGTATTTAAAAAATAATATGTTTGGAATACTTAGTGCCTGATACACATTACCTATTCTACAGCAGAAGTTCTCAGCTAGGGACGGTTTTATCCCAGAGAACATTTGACCGTGTCTGAAGTCATTTTTGATGATCATGACTGGTGCATGCTACTGGCATCTAGTGGGTAGAAGCCAGAGATGCTGCTAAATATTACACAATGCACAGGATAGCTCCTTACAGAAAAGAATTATCTTGCACATATGTCAAAAGTGTCAAGGTTGAGAAGCCCCATTCTACAGGAATGAACTCTTATTGCTACTACTACATAGGAGGAAGCTACGGGAGAGAGAAGATAAATAACATAGCCAAGATAACACAGTTAAGAAATGATAGAACCAGGCTTTGAAACTTTTTTCTCATTCCAAGTTTGATTCCAACTCAGGGGTACTTCTTACCATACCAGAACTGCTACATAAAAGTAAATTTGCATGTAACTGCTTGATTTCTTTTTTTTCCACCAAATTTTTATTTAAATTCCAGTTAACATACATTGTAATATTAGTTTCTGGCATAGAATTCAGTGATTCATCACTTACATACAACACCTAGTGCTCATCATAACAAGTGCCCTCCTCAATGCCCATCACCTGTGTACCCCATCCCACACCCACCTCCCTCCATCAACCCTCAGTTTGTTCTCTGTTGATTTCTAAGACCATTCGCCAATAAAAGGAGCCAAGGCTTCTTGGAGAAATGGCTGATTCCAGGGTGAAGGCAGGAAATATGCAAGATGATCTTGGAGTATCTTATAGCCATAAAGTAAGAAAGTGCTAAGAAAACAAAAGGAACAAAGGAAAACAGAGATTACCAATGATAGAGGTATGTCAAAGAGACACCGGAACCAACTGAAAGAACTCCCAATGGCCAAAATTGGAACAGTTTGAGCAATAGTACAATACAGTATTGGATCACAATAGAAAGTAAATGCCCAAATATCCACACTGTTATAAATAAATGATTGAATATATAAACTAATGGGTAGAAATAGACAAATCTCCATGCAGAAGAATTCCAAATACTTTGTGTAGATACTCTCACCTCATAAAGGAAGGGAATAGCTTCCTACTTCTTAAGTGTACACTATAACTAGTGACTTCTTTCCAAAAAAAAAAAAAAAAATGGAAAAGGAGGTAAAAAAAAAAAAAAAAGATAATTCCACAGGAGAGAAACCTGAAAATACTACCTCAATTAGGTGATCAAGGTTAACATCAACAATAAAGCCATGCTGATAGCAGGTACCCTTGGTTGATATGATGAAAATGAAACGTTATCTCTGTGTTTTTTCTCCTCAAAACTTATAAACCTTGTGTAATCATTAGAAAAATATCAGACAGATTTTGAGGGACATTTTACCAAATGATCAGTACTCCCCAGAACTGTCAAGCCATCCAGAACAAGAAAACCATCACAGCCAAGGAGAAACTAAGCAAACATGACAACTCATGCGGTTTCCTGAATGACATGCTAGAACAGAAAGGGGGCATCAAGTACAAACAAGAAAATCTGAAAGAAGTATGGACGTTAGTTAATAACGTATCAGTATTGGCTCATGTATGGTGACAGATGTACCATACTAATGTACGCTGTTGACGATAGTGGAAATGGGGTGTGGGGTTTATAGGAATTCTCTGCAACTTTTTTGTAAGTCACAAACTATTCTAAAACAAAACATTTATTTTTTAAAATAGCAAATTTGCATGATTATCCTTGAAATGAAGGGCTGGCCTTTACTTGTCCTCATAGACAAAAGGCAAGGTCAAGTAGTGCTTTTGAGGAGGAGAGATGAAGTCACAGGAGAAGGAATGCCTTTGAGATTCTCAGTAAAGTAGGTAACAGTAGGATATTCTTAAATATTAACTGGTTGTAGGAAATTGTGTTTCTGAAGATAGTGTAAAAGATCTCAAGTAGTATACTCAATAGGGATTTTATAGTGAATATTAGTAAGTACATCTATAAATTATGTACAGGAAACAAAATCTATTTAAGTGATTATTCAAAATAAATATTATGTTTATGTTGCTCAGATAGAGAGCCAATATACACAGCTCACGTGCACCAATACGAGTCAGTTTTTATAGAATCAGAGTCTCTAACAATGTGCTACTGAAAGCCTGTTTAGCAGATAACGCTGTGTTCAGTATCTAATTTTAGTAAAAGAATTTTAGGAACAAGAATTTTAAAAAATTCCCAACGTTGTTGATAGGCAGTTGAACCCACCTAAAATAATTCATATCCCAGATAGCCTTGCAGCTGGAGATGGCTATGTGACACAGCTGTGGCTAGTGAGTATTTGCTAGCTTTGGGGAAGATTTTGTCTTCTGAACTATGGGTACCAGCAGTTCTTCACAGCTTTTTTCTTTTTCTTCTTCCTCCCTGTACCATCAGTTCTACACCTGGAGTGTAGCAGTACTTTTGTGAGTAGGAGGCCATAATCAAGAGGATGAGGCCATACACTAGTCAATAGCTAGATCCTTGATAATGTTTTTAAGTAGCTACACTAGCCTGGAGAGACTGCTGTCGGACTTCTAGTTATCTGGGACAAATAGTGTCATTCTAAGTAATGTCTTTTCTATGAAGTCAAGATCATTCTTACTGATACAGTTCCCCAAACAGATTGTATTTCAGGGAAAACTTTCCATCACGAGTGAAGGAGGGAGGGAGTATTGGTTTAGCAAATCCGATTAGCTCATAATCAAGCAATCAATGGGATGCCTATTAGAGTCATATTATCCCAATATCTGTAACCTGGCTTTTTTAAAAAAATTTTTTAATGTTTTATTTATTTCTGAGAGAGACAGACAGCGTGAGCAGCGGAGGATCAGAGAGAGAGGGAGATACAGAATCCGAAACAGGCTCCAGACTCTGAGCTGGCTGTCAGCACAGAGCCCGATGCGGGGCTCGAACCCACGAAATGTAAGATCATGACCTGAGCCGAAGTCAGATGCTTAACCGACTGAGCCACCCAGGCGCCCCAACCTGGATTTTTTATACGTCCAGTTCTCCTTCTTGATTTAGAAGAAGCTGACCTGTAAAGGGATGGTACCTTGTGTCATCTGCACCTGTGTTTCCTTACCACAAAGCCTGTCTCCAGTACCCAGTGATTATCAAAAAGAATTTATGGCAAATGCATTTTCTTAGAACATTATTGTCTGTTACATACTGATTTAAGATAATACATTTTGAAATGTAGAGGGGAGGGAAATTCCTCATGGCTGACCACTTAAGCATAAGGATGGAGTTGTTTTTCCCAGAAGTGTCATGGCAGAGGTAGTGAATTGATTCATGACATTTTTGTAAGTGGATCACTGGCCATGCCTGCTCAGTACCTCTGAGTTACAAGAGAAATGTTTATATTATTGGTTGCATTCACATGAGTGCCTTCTTTTTAAAATTGCATTGCAGTGTACAGGTACAATTTGGCAGTATTTGAGATATCTATGAGGGATTGAATACCAGAAGTTTAAGAGAGAAATTGTTTTTGGAAATAAGTAGATTTTATACATAAGGATCTAAAAGATATATTTCTGATGATTTATCTTAAAAGGATTTTTATCATATCTTTCCTTAAGTTTTTTTACATTTTTTTCTGAAAACATTCAACTCCTTCGTATGTTTATTGCTTTTACTATCAAGAAAGTATACATGTCCACAGTAATATTATTTGTTTCAGTCTCCAAATGAAATTGTTCCTTTTGTTATAAAGAATGAACCTCCAATGTAGCCTAATCTTTAGATGAAAAGTGTAATTTTTTTCTGAACATTGCAGTGGAATGGATTATTGTTAATTCATGGAGAGAAATATGTTCAAACAAAAAAAGATAAAGGGATCTCTGAAATACTGGGATAAATCTCTCTTTGCAGCTGTTTTGGAAGATGATGGAAGCTAGGAAATGTTGAAGAGAGTAGCATAGACTTTTCTTCCATTCATGGACCAACATAAGTCTAGCATTTTCCCAGATGTCAAAGGACAAACTGACCTAGTTGTTTAATACTGTTTTCAGAAACTTCACAACCAGAGGTAGAAATAAAACAGAAAGCATGGGACTACATCCATTAGTGCAAAAACAAAACAAAAAATCCTATATTAACAAAGATAATTGATTAAGCACATATGACTAATGATTATATGAGTTGAATGGAAATGACCAGTGGAATATGAAAGTAAGGGATAAGTTTTGCTAATTCTGATAACCCATGAAGAAGGGGTTTTCTCACATGAGAAGCTGAGGAATTTTGAGTTACTTGAATAAGCAGGACTGAAATGAAGAAATGGTTGATTGGACGCACAATCCTCTATAGATGAAGTATAGGTAAGAGCAAGTACAAAAGGCCTGGCAAAATCCATGTTAGCCACCAGCCTTTTCTCCTTTTCCTCCATCCAAAGTCAGCAGAACAATATGGATCCTATTACTGTTTCTGGGAAAAACAATTGGTTCCAGGAGGTCATGGCAAGCAGAGATGCCCAAAGTGGCATTTACTCCCTGCCTACTTGGCCCACTAGGTAAGAAGTAGGGCTCTTCTTTGCCTGGCTCTGAACAAATGTAACTATGCCAAGCAAAGAATGGTGGTCCTCCGCCAGCTAATTCCTGGCTACTACTTGCTGTCTTTGGCTTCAGATATTTCCTATTTCTCCCCAGGCCACTGTACCTCTGAACTAGCAAAGTATGATTACAGTAAATCTCAACTTTTCATATTTATGTGCTGTTATGCTAGAAAGGTTTGAACAGAGACTCACCCAGTCTTTGATAGTTCCCTGTCAGCTTCTATCTGTAGACAACAAGAGAATTTCCTTTGCCTCAGGTGTGCCCGAGGAGACAGAAAAATCATCAGGCATGTAGTTATTTTAGTACAAACGAAGGGGACTGCTCTGAAACATTAGAACTTACTAAAAGAAACAGGAATACATTTTGAAATTTTTTTGTGTATTCAGTAAGATTTAAAAAAACACTACATTTATGTAACCAAAATGCCATTGATAAAAAGAGACCCATCTAAGAACAACTTAACTATAATTTAAGGATTTTTTAAAAAATGCTTGCCAAATTAAAAGCAATGAAAGAGACAGTGAATAAGAGTTTATATATTATAGCAAATTGATTTTAAGAGTTTAACATGTCCAATAAACTCTCCATGAGGCTAAATAAGAAGAAGCAGAGATTAAAATGATGAAATAAGGGGCATCTGGGTGGCTCAGTTGGTTAAGCACTCAACTTTGGCTCAGGTCATGATCTCATGGTTTGTGAGTTCGAAACCTGTGTCGGGCTCTGTGCTGACAGCTCAGAACCTGAAGCCTGCTTCAGATTCTGTGTCTCCCTCTCTCTCTGCCCCTCTGCTGCTTGTGCTCCTTCTCTCTGTCTCTCAAAAATGAATAAAAAAATTAAAAATAAATAAATAAAATGATGAAACAAAAGTAAGGTATTGAGAGAAGTAAAAAATTTGTTAGACATATGATAGAGATCTCAGAAAGAGAAAGAGAAGCCAAAGAGAAATGTTAATGAAAATATATAGAAATTTTTAATGAGCTGAATAGTCTTGAGTCTGAAACTAAATGGCACACTGAATACAAGCAAAATAAAAAAGGAAATTAATAGCTTAAACTTAAATAAAATAAAGTCAGTTACTTCTAAGCAACTTTTGAATAAAAGAGAGGATTTCCAGATCGCCTAGATAGAGACTACACAGAAAATAAGAACAATAAAAACTCAATGTACCAAAGCTTATAGCAAAGGGCCAAAGCCATTCTAGAAAAGGGTAGGTTATGTGTTTCTATTATTAAACACAAATGAATGAAAATAAATAATTAAAAAACCTCAAAACATTTGAATTTGAGCAGTCAACTTTAGGAAAAAGAAACTAATTAATACAAAAAGTAAAATGAGCTAATTAGAATTGAAAATCTATAGACAATCATAAAAGCTAGAAACTTTTTAAAAAGCATTAAAAACTATTAATGTGCTGGTAAATCTAAACTAAAATTCACATTACTAAAATGACATTATCTATAAAAATTTAAAAATAGACTATTATATAACTATGATAATCTTAAAACTATTAATGATATATAATATTTTATGCAACATTAATTAATAAATTCTCTTCTAAAATAATTAGAAAATCTCAAGGGGCACTTGTGGGGATGAGCCCTGGGTGTTATATGGAAACCAACTTGACAATAAACTATTTGTAAAAAAAAAAAAAAAAAGAAAAGAAAATCTCAAAAGGCCAATATCTAGAAAAATAATTAAATATTTTTGGTTTTTAAAAGGTTCTTGTCCTGATAGTTTTACAGATGAATTCTTCTAAACTGTCAAGGAAGAATTAATATGAAGAGCCTAGGAAAGAAAGAAAATTTTCTAATTCAGCTAATACAAGCCAAACAGCAAAATCTTAGAAAGTGCAAAAAGTTGCAATTCTATCTCAATTATGACAAACAATATAGGCATTCACAGATAGTAGGGAATTTAACACAACAGGATTTTAATATAATAACATATTATGATTGAGTAGAAAATATACCAGAAAGTAAGAATGCTTTAAGGTCAGGAAATTTATGAAGCAGTGCATAGCAACTACAGGTCAAGGAAGAAAATCTACATAATAGTTGTTGGGTGTTTGGTGTGGGGAGAGGGCAATAAATAATTCTCATTACCTTATTTGCTACTCCTTATAGAATGCTGAATCAATTGAGATGTAGACAAAGGACTTAAGCAGATAGAAAGTAAAATATCAGCTTTACAATTACTTAACTATTTGAAAATACAATAGAAATGAAAGACTTCATTCACAATGTCAACAAAATTATAAACTAGCTATGGATCAACTTAAGAAGGAATGAACAGTAGTGTTAAAAAGAAAATTTATGAAAATTTACAACAGTCTTAGAAAATACCTAAATTGAAAGGCATATCATATCCAGGGAAGCGAGGATTTAAGTTTATAAAGATACAGTTCTTCACAAAGTAAGCTACAATTCCAATTCTAATGTTATTTTTATTTTTTCCCTTCTGTTCTTCTCTTAACTCTCCTCCCATTTCCTCTCCCATGTTTATTTGCATTTTGAAAGTGTGAGGAGCTTAGAAAGTTGTAAGCAAAAATAAAACAAAACCCTGAGATATTATAACGCTACAATAATTAAAACTGCTAGATTGTATGTGTGTGTGCATATGTGAATGTTATTATGTTATGTATGATGTTACATTGTTACTAGGATAAATAACTAATCTTTTGGGTTCTTGTACCCAATTCCAGTGTGTGTGTATGTGTGTGTGTGTGTGTGTGTGTGTGTGTGTGTGTGACATTAGCAAGGTGTTTCAACTCATCTCAATTCTGACAGTATCTACCTAGAGATAGCATCAGATTCCACAGGTAAAGGTGTCAGTCCCACAAAATAGCCCTCTGTTTCAGATGCCAGTAATAATCTCGGGGTGTTACCTGTGCTCTGACAAACTGGCTATAAATCAGAGGTTTCCACTATCCCCTCTTTGGGTTCAATTAATTTGCTAGAAGTTTTCACAGAACTCAGGAAAATCATTTACTCACTAGATTACTGATTTATTACAAAAGATATTAATGGTCATGAATCAACAGAAAGATGAAGAGATACATGGAGGGAGGTCCCGAACTAAAGAACTTCTGTCCTTATGGAGTTTGGGATCTCAACTACTTCCATTTTGACCTCGAACTTTCCAGTTGAGGAAATTTTTCTTTCCAGCTTATCTCTTAACTCAAGCAAAAGATCCTGCAGGCAAAGCATCCCCTGAAGGGAGTCAAAACTACCCCCTCAAGTAAGAAAGTCTGCCCTGAGGCAGTAAGATCCTGTGTGACTGACCCTAAGACAATTATCAGTTTGACCTTTACTGCCCACCTGCACGTACCCACCAACCTGTGCTCCATATAAACCTTTAAGTATTTTCGGCACTTTAGAGACAGTCTTTGAAACACTAGTCCATTGTCTTCCTGGTGTTGCCTTACTGAACTGAATTCCTTTTTTGTTTCACCACCTGTCACCTCTCTGCCTTTGGATTTTGTCAGTGGCAAATGGCTGAACCTGTTTGGGCCCCCAGAGTCAGATGCTTTTGCATCCCTGCACCCTGGCTACATAGTGGCACCTGAGAGCATTCTGGTTTGCCATCATGGTATCTCTATGAACTCCCTCCTTCTGGGATTTTATGGAAGCTTCTTTACATAGGCATGATTGATTAAGTTATTGGCCCCTGGAGATTGATTCCACCTTTAGCCCTCTTCCTTCCAAGGAAATCAGGGGGTGGGGCTGAAATTTTCAACCCTCTATTCTATGGTTGGTACCCCTGGCAATCAGCCCCCAAACTCAGAGGTTTACAGAAGGCTCATCTTCATTAACATAGACCCAGTTATTCACAAGGCACCCGTTTCGTTTTTATGGCTCTGAAGTATTTTGAAGAATTGAGGACAAATATTGTATCAAAAGATGCTCTCATTGCTCTTATGGATCAGAAAATTCCAAGGGATTTAAGAACTGTGAGCCAAAAACTGTAGATAAAGACCAAACATAGCCAAAAAATATATTTTGGTTGTCTGAATGACCAAATATATGTATTTCTTATGAATTATAAATACAAGTACAAATAATCTGTATATTTTAATTATAGTAGCATTATAATATCTTAGGATATATACATATATATGATGTTAATATACTATGTCACATATATGTATGTATATGTATATATACATAAATATATACTGCATTATGTACATAAATAGGCAAAAGTAATAGTATAACACAAATTCCACACAGTAAAATGGGTAAATGAATTTCATTTAAAGTCAGGTCAACTAATAAGGATAAAGACTTCATATCAAGTTCTTCCTTGCTTGGAAGTAGGGCTTAGAATGGAAAGAATTACAAACCTAACAGGGGAGTGGATAGAGTTACCGTCCAGTCCAAAAAGTACCAGGAGGAAGTAAGTTTGGCTCAAATAAAATCTTAACAGTCTCCACGGTGTTTCTGAAAACTTTGTTTACTGAAATAGACAGATGTTGCATATCCAGTTACTCTTTTCAGTTAGCAAGTTAAGATGCCTCTGGTTTGCATGTTTCTAAGGATTTTGTTTTATTTTGTTTTGTTTTCACCAAGCTTAATGAGCATGAAGAAGTTATAGTCTCAGAGCATTTTCTTAAAATATCACTCTAGAATGTTTAACTTCCATTTGTGCAATCGTTGTTCCAGAAAACTTCCTAAGATGGCTCCTTGTGTACGGATAGCTCTCTGGCAAAAATGGGTTTTCTCTGACTGGTTCAAATAAGATTGCCCTTTTGAAGTCACTGACACCTACGGGAGAATATTTGGCAAGAGATGCATATGTAATGTAACACCTAAATAGATGATACTGTTTAAGAAGAAACTATAGTACTTGAAGAACTAGAGTTCAGACTATGTCACGGAATTGGGCCTTGATGGGGTATTCTTTGAATAGTACTCTGATGAAATGATCAGTGAATTTTTCATGTTTAAATGTTGATTACCGGTGCCAGTGATATTTTCAGCTTCCTTGCCTTTAGGAGATGGAGTTTTGCGAATGTGTTTCTTAGCTGTGTGCATGCATTACAGTGGAAAAGTGAGGGGTACCTGATGGTCCATGTGATAATGGTTCAAAGGGAAAATCATTCCATGTGAACTGACCCTGTTATGGAGGTTCTGATCTTTCCCCAAAAGAATAGCTTTGCACCTGGGATTCTGATCTGGAACTAATTCTTTTCACTAACTTCAGTTTAAAGTGCCCCTCCCTCTGCCTCAACAGGATGAAGAGGTCCCAGGCTTAGAATAC